CAAAACTGAGATGAGGAGAAACTACTTCTGTCAGAGGGTTGAGAGTCTGTGGAACTCACCACCTCAGAGTGCAGTGGAGGCGGAATTAATCAACAGATTCAAGAAAGAAATAGATATGTTTCTGATGAAATGTGGGATAAAGGACTATGGGAAGCAGGCAGGAAGGTAGAGTTGAGACCAGGATAAGATCAGCCATGATCATGTTAAATGGCAGGGCAGGCTCAAGGGGCTGAATTACCTACTCCCATTCCTAATTCCTATGTTCCCATGTACCATAGAGCCATAGAAAAGTCACAACAAAGAAAGAGACCATTCAACCTCTCACGTTCACAGCAGCTGAATAAATGAACCACCCATTCTAAATGCACTTTCCAGCACCTGGTCCTCAGATTTGCAGGTTAGAGCACTTCAGGTGCAGATCCAGATTCCTTTGAAATGAGTGGAGGCTTTCCAGTTTAACCAACAAGCTGGGCAGTGAATTCCAGATACCCACCACATCTGGGCTGGATTAAAAAGTTTTGCCCAATGTCATCTCTAATCCTTCTACCAATCACCTTAAATCTGTCCCACCAAAAATGATGATTGTCAGCTTACTGCCAAACTTTGTTTAATTTTTCAATGTAGTTTGATACTGATCTGTCAAGGCATTGCCTTGGGAAATGAATCAGAGAATGGTTGTCACCTATTTTGTTACGTTAAAGCATGCACAGTGTGCATATATGATATTTCTTAAAATGTGTCTTATTTTCTCTTCCGTATTGTTGTAAAGATCTCACTAAATTGAAGTCAGAGTTTATGGTTCCACTGAAATATGTAGATTAGTAAATTACATCAGGGCAAACCAATGATGTATTGCAATAATGGAAACCAAAAGCATTTATGTTACAGGAGATAGATTTCTGGTTGTAATGACCATGTGTTTATTGCCTGCCATATGGAAGGCTTACATCTAGGAAACAGTCCCTGAAGCCTGAAAATGTATGTGGCAAATTCTCCATTCCACTCCAGCACCACTGCAACTGAATGAAACAACTGACCTATGGGGAAATTTGTAGTTATTATCTTTAAAAGATTCTTAAATATAACAATGCTGTTTGAATGAGATATATGGAATGTCATGATAACAGGATCATCTAGTTTTACCTTGATCTGTACATGAGCCAAAAATAAAAGAGACTGAATGGTTACAGCTACTTAGTTACATGGCACTTGTTCAGAATACCAATAAGTCCATGGAGCACTATTCATTTCTAAAGCACTGCGCTATGAAAAAATTGTTAATAATTAACAGCCTATCTATCAAATTGCTTAAATTAAAGCAAATGTACAATAAAATGAAACATCCAGCTGGCAACTGTTATGGGTCAGACAAGTCCTATGTACAGTAAATGGGTTTGTTTTGTAATAGAGCTTTTGTTCCCAAATGATAATTGAGTTATTATAGAATGAACAACTGAAACCAAACCACAAACGGTGTAAGGCCGACAGTTGCATTTTTTTTCCCTGAACTCGCATTTGGATTAGATTTTGATTGAAGCCTGTTTTATTACTCTACAAGGAGTCTCATCCAGAAAAGAATACATAATTCAATAGGAATTCAAAAAACTCCCACAGCCATTATAACCAACGCACTGACAAAACCAAATGTTAAAGAAACAATACGAGGTTCATTGATGACGTGCTGTATTTTAACAAGAACTTATTTTTGTACCAGTTAAGAGGCTGATGATCTAAGTACCATTCTCTGTTACTGGGTGATATGAATACAATCAACTTTCGGTAACAATCGTACATTCAATAAACATGGCTCATTAAGCAATATCTAAACTCTAAGATGTAAATAGCTTTTTTAAAAAATGATAAAGGTAGGTTACTGCTACCCTACTTCCGCACTGCAAGTTGAATTTCTTAGGGTTGGCCCAATATATTAGAGTTTTCAAAGTACTGCACTACTATTAGTGTCAGCTGTGGTATTGTGGTGAGATCTTGAGCAGAGATGAAAAACCACTCTAGACAGTGAAGGGAAAGTGAAATCAGCTTCTTCGAAGTCAGATTCCCTGTGGTTCTCTTGAAGTTGTGAGAGTAGTTTCCACAGTTTTCTTTTTAATAAGGCAATATGTGTGTTGTTTGAAGAAGTTTGAAAAGTGAGAAAGTAATTTTAAAGAGATAGTAGGAACTGCCGATGCTGGAGAATCTGAGATAACAAGGTGTAGAGCTGAATGAACACAGCAGGCCAAGCAGCATCAGAGGAGCAGGAAAGCTGACGTTTTGGGTCTAGACCCTTTTTTCTGAAGAAGGGTCTAGACCCGAAACATCAGCTTTCCTGCTCCTCTAATTCTGCTTGGCCTGCTGTGTTCATCAAGCTCTACACCTTGTTATCTAAAGTAATTTTAAACATGCATGGTTGAATCCTTGACAAGAAAAAATGTAGTTGTAATTTCATATTGGTTTAAAAGTGGTTTAAAATAAACAAAGAATAAAACGGAAATGGACAGCTCACCCCACCATTCCAAGGTATTTGGCAGGTGCACAATGCAATATCAGGTCCATTGAAAACACTGGATGGACGTCTGCAGTGAGGCCTATTACTAAACTAATAATGTCATTATTCATGTTTGCTAAATAACATTGGCACAAAAATATCCTTTTTGAACCAACTTGTCTGTTCTGAGAATTGTGATACTGGAATCTCAGTCCATACGATATCCATTATAAAATGTTTAAAACTATAATTTGATTGGTTAGAATCAAGCTGCATTATTTTTATCACAATAACACTTAAGCGGATAAGAACAAGAGTTATCCATTCAGCCCTTTGAACCTACTCAGCCAATTAATGTAATCGTAGCTGATCAAACTATTACATGTCTTTTATACATATTATCCCCTAACCCTTTAGAGCATTGATAATCAGAAATCTATCAATCTCTAGCTTTAAACATACTCAAAGATTAAGTTTCCCCAGCCCTCTGGGATAGAAAATTCCAATGATACATAATCCTCTAAGAAAAGAAATTTGTCTTCCTCTCAGTCCTAAATGCATCCCTCTTTTTTTAAAAATTGTACCTGATGGTTCTAGACTCCCCAGTTAGGGGAAGATTCTTACCTGCATATACTCTGTCTATCCCTTTATATATTTTGTAGGCTTCAATGAGATCACTTCTTATTCTTTGAAACTCTGGAGAATACAGGCACAGTTTGCCCAGTCTTCCTTCATAGGACAGTCCTGCCATCCTGGACACAAGTCTGGTGAACCTTTGTTGAACTCCCTCAAGACAATGATATCTTTCTGGAGACAAAGGGACCAGAACTGTACCCAGTACTCTAGGTGCAGTCGAACCTATCTCTTTAACAATTGAAGCAAAATTTCACTACTCCTGTTCTCAAATCCTCTCACAAAAAAAGTTAATATCGCATTAGCCAGCCTACTAGCTTGCTGCATCTACATGTCAGACTTCAATATCTCCTTGACAAGGACACCAGGTTCCTTTGCACATCTACTCTTTCACCATTAAATAGTAATGGTTTCCTGGCAATCTTATGGCCTTGCATCAGCTATTATTAGTCTCAATTACAGGTGGAAGAGGAAGGCAGCCTTTAATGTCATAGACTCACTGATTAGAACGCTCACCGAGATTCCAAGGAACACCATACCATCCCTGTCGTTACGCGAGCTGAATCTGGGCAAACTGATGAAGGTGAAAATTAGTCATTTTTATTCAGTGAGGTGAAATGAGTGAAACTGGGAGAGACAGACAAAGATTAAAGAAAATCTAAAACAGACATGAAGAGAAAGAACTGGACAAAGTACTAGGGAAAAAATAGAAATTGCTGGAAAAACTCAGCAGGTCTGGCAGCATCTATGGAGAGAAATCAGAGTTAACATTTCGGGTTGAGCGATCCTTCCTTAGAACTGCCTAAGAAAGTATTAGTGAAGGCAGGCAGATGAAACAAGGACCATCAAAATTAAAACGAGGTAAAGATCTTCAATCACAATTTATTTTTTTCCAGATCTAACTGACTGGTTGATTCCCTCCTGATAGAATTACTTTGCTCCTAATGAAATTTTTCCTGTAAATCTGTCCTGTTGATTTCAATGTCTAATGTATTTGCTGGCAGTTTAACAACTAGTGAAGTAAGGGTGGAATTGCTTCACCAAATGTACTCTTCCTGAGTGATTTGTTGGCAAACATGCCACCTGACCTGCCAGAGGTTGTGCTGGTTGGCTCTTGAAGTTCATAACTGTTGACTCGATCCGTTTTGAAATTGGGGCTTCATTGGCAGTCTCCAGATGCAGACAGAAAAGCAACACCAGAAGACAGTTGCAGGCCACTACAATATCAGACAAACTCACTGGCCTTGACTCACTGGCCTTGACTCACAAGAGGAAAATTCAACGGTTGGGGAACTAGGTCTCATTTTGATTTCGGGGCTGGTTCCACAGCTTTCAGAGAAGCCTCTGTGCTCCTCCCAATGCCACAAAACTAAATCCAAGCTTCCCTGTGAACATTTCTTTGGCTCCAAACATAGTTTACAAAGGTACAGCATTTGCAGAAAATGTCCTACCTTGGATATCATGATGAAAGTTTATGAAGTGTCATTATCTTTATTTGGAAATGTGACTTCTAAATCAGTCATAACTGTGTGTAGTTTAATGTTTGGTTGTATTTTCATATTGTGTGCATTAATATGGGAAGGAAATTTTAAGATTCATAATAGATTTGTTTCATGAGTGATGCCAGGGTGTCTAACTTTTGTTAACACAAAATTGTAGTGAGAGTTTACAGTCTAGAAGGAGACCTTGTGCTGAACAGTGAAGGGTAATAGAAACAAGGATGGTAAAGAAAAAAAATCTGCTGTTGCCAAGCAACAACATCTCCTATGACAAGGGAGACAGAAAAACAAAACCATCCAGAAGATCAGGCAGTGTGTGCCGGTCAGTAAGAGTGAAAAGTTATGCTTGTTTGCAATCTTCCAAAAGTCAAAGCTGGGTAAATGTCATGAGCAGCTTTGAAGAAAACCAGAAACCACTGGATGCTGAAGGTATGCAAAACGTGTTTGTTGTGAAAGTGTTCAGAAGTCACTTAAAGGAACGGTACGAAAAGCAATCACGGCCGTGCCAACTGGACAAGTAACTTGAAAATTAAGTCACAGTTACCATTCATTGAAGTTGAACTGTCTGTAAGGTTGTTGTTGAAGCAAAAGGGTTGAATCTTTATTTCTGATATTTGTATTGAGACTGTTTGAATATTTCTTGTATAATGTATAGTAGTTTGATTTTTTTATGTGTAATAAACTTTGATGGTCTTTTGTTCAAAATACAGTGGCAGTTTCTTGTGAATATGTTTGGTGACTGGCCTCCATGCTAAACAAATAACAAAAATAAAGGTGATGGTTTATCAGTCTAGCTTTTGATTTGAAACCTGATTTGTCTAGTATTAACATCAGCTGTGATCAGAGCAATCAGAACATGATTAAGCCATTCAACCCCTTCAATCTTGTTCAACTGTGCAATTAGATCATGGTTGATGGTGATGGTGTTGGCAGACTAGGCAACATTTTTGGCAACTGCAGTGACAGTGGGAAATGGGGCAGTACATAACCTACCAGAGATAGTAGGAACTGCAGATGCTGGAGAATCTGAGATAACAAGGTGTAGAGCTGGATGAACACAGCAGGCTAAGCAGCATCAGAGGAGCAGGAAAGCTGACATTTTGGGCCTAGACCCTTCTTCAGAAATCATTTCTGAAGAAGGGTCT